ATGTTTTATGGACACTGTTACCCACTATGACCTTGTTATGGTGCAGTCTTCAGTCTATCTTCCTCATGATTTTCCTGTTTCACCTATAGTTTGACTATGCCTTACCTTTGTACATATTTTGCCTTGTATTGTCTCAAAGGGGATCTCTTGGAAAGATGCCAAAATCATGGGCTCACTCTTTTCTCCTAAACTTCAACTGTGCTAAACAGTATATTACCTCTGTACAAAAGTTTTCAGGGAGTGTCACCTCAAATGCAATACTTAAGGTTGGTTTCTTTGCTTTTAGAAGATATATAAAACTGGAAGTGTGAGAGAGGAAGGATACTCATTTGATAGGTAGAATGCATCTGATTATGGAGAGAGGAAAGTTGCTCCATGTATGTTTGCAGTACCAAGTTTTGAGCTGGAATTTATTATAAAAATGTAAAACCTTAAATTATTAATAAATACCTATTTTGACTATTGAATGTGTATTTTTGAAAAGACATCTTGATACTTGCATGTGCAGTGACATTTGGGAAATTTTTCAGCCGGGGACTGAGATGACTTGGGTAAAACTTACTTTAAAGCTATTCCTAGAATGTTTCTCAGGTGCAGTTTATGGGGTGCATACGTTTCAGATCAAGACGCCATCATGGAATGGACTATCCTATATGTGGGAAACACTTTCTGTGTATATGGTTTAGGCCTAAGAGTATTTTTTTTTGGTGGAACCGGGGATTGAACTCAGGCCCTTGCATGTGCTAGGGAAGAGTTTACAGAGCCATCTCCCTGGCCCTCCTAACATTTTATTCCACAGAAAAAGATCATAGTATACCCTTGTGAGGTGTAAGGAGATTTGAATCTTTCTCAACAACTGCAGAAAGGTGTACCGGAACACCAGTGTGATTGCCACGTGTAAACTCCTGCCCTTTGCTATCGGAATTATTGCACAATAATCTTACACACGCCAGGGAGGAAGTAGGGATATTAATTTTCCCAGGCTGTTACTGTCCAGCAATTCTGAGTTATCTATCTGGTGTTGGAATGACATGATTCTAGAGTGGGGTCTCACTTTACCCTTGCCAAACGCATTGAGCCTGGATGTAGGTTTATAATTTGTAGTTGGTACCTGAGATGAACATTTGCCATCCCTGTTCAAATGTGCTTTTGAGCTTAAATGGTTTTAAATGTAGGTTAGAACCTCAGCTGAATGAATATTGGATAGAGATTTTGAAGTTTCTAAGCTACAGGTTCAATATCTTGATGTTTTCCTTGAAACTTTTTCTTCCCCCTGTAAAAATAACAAAATAGAGGTGAAGGTAGATGTATAAGACTTTTAGTAGAACCCATATCCGGTTCTTTCTACATGAGTTCCATTCTTTTTCTAAAGAGATAAGCTTTCACCCAAATGGCACACAGCAGATGCCAGTTGGACTGTTCTGCTAGTCTACATGTTAGTAGCTGGCAAGTGACCCTCAGCAGTTGTGTTGTCAAACTACAGCATTGTTTTTAAGCAAGTACAAAAGGCAAGTAAAGTATAGAAGAAGAACCAAGTCGGTCAGATCTTGTGTCTCAAGTGAGAGACAGCACAGAAAAAGGAGAAGTGGACTGCAGCTCAGCTTGGCTTGTGCTAATCCAGTTCTGAACAGTTTCCGCTCCTGGCATTCCCTAAACTGCCTGTTCAAAGTAGGGATTTGCAAGCAGCGCTAGCAATTTCCTGTCCAGCTGCAGCTTAAGTAGCTGGGTGCAAAAAACCCTCCCGTCTTTTTCTCTCTGATTTCTTTACTCATTCCTTTTTTTCCTTTTTTTTTTTTTTTTTAAATATGGGCTGTGGGTAATTTTAGTGCATTTCCTCTTTGTGGATTGTCATCTCTTTCCTCCTAGAACCTGCATGCACCAAGTTCCTACTGCTGAGCCCCAGCCGACAGCTGGCCTCCCCTGTGCTTCCTCTCCTTCACTGTGGGTTTGTTGTTTGTCAGTCCACTTCTGAAATTAATAATGTTTTCTGGCCAAGTGCCACAAACCATTACCACAAAGGGGAAGTAACACATATGAATAGCAGGAAGCCATGCAGGGTCACAGTTTAAGCTGAACCTGTGGAGGGAGCATAATTGAGCCCAGCCCATTCAGCAAGTGTCTGAGGGTGGTGTGGGAGCTCACGGTGTTTAAGCTGCTCAAGCTATGGAAAGAAAAAATTTCAAAGTAAATTGGGAGCAAATGGTCTTTGTCCCCAGTCTGAATACAGGAGAGAGAGCGCTAGAGGAGCGCAGGGCCCTGTAACCTTGCGATGTTCCGGGTTTCTCCCCTGGCTTCTCACGTATTGTTTCGAAAGGCTGGTGAACAGAGGGGAGCCTGTTTCTCTCTGTTCCCACAAAAGAACTCACGTTAAATGGGTGGTTTTCACGGTTCATACAAGCCAAAAGATTCAAAGAGTTACTCTCTTTCTTTGCTTTCCTTTTCTAAAAGGTGGAAGGTTGTAACTGACAGCGCAAGCCCCCACCCCGCCCTGCATGTGTTTCCTTTCTCCTGCCGGCCGGCCGTACCAGGGCTCCTCCGGGTCCTTTGTGCTCGCGGGAGCCGCGTGAAGGCAATCCTTTTGCATCTTGGAGTTGGGCTGGCTTCCTGAATGGAGCCAGCACTGTTGCTAGGGCAACCTTTGCCAGCTGCTGCAACTCCCTGGCCTCCCCCCTCACCTGCTGTCTGCTGTCCCCATCTGTGGCTTCCACGCCGCCCCCCTCATCCCCCAGAGAAAGTGTTACCTTTCCTGACCTCCTGCGGGGTGCTGGGAAGGGTGGCGCGCCTGGGCAGAGGAGATTATTTGCGAGGTTTGTGGGTGCCCTCCTAGACACAAGAATGCAGCAGTTAAAGGAATGCACAGCTTTAGAATTAAAATTGGGATGAGGAAGAGGTATTTGGAGATAAAAAAAATACCCGGCCAGTCTTCAAAGGAGTGAAAATGGAGTTTTGCCCTGGACCCTACAATGAACAGACATGAGCTATCAATGATTTTCTTGCTTATCTGTGAGATGACAGAGTGCTTACGGTCTCAGCCTCTGCTCTTGGATCAGTACCACTTATTCCACGAAAAATGAGATGCAAAGCAGAGGAAATAAACAAGGAACATCCATTATTAGTAACAGCTCTGTGAGACAGGTCTGATTAGTATCCAAAGAAGAAACTGAGACAGAGAGAGGCCTCTAATGTTTTTAAAGACACTCGTAATAGGACACCTAATGCACACTGTTAGGAAAGGTGTACGGTTAGGAGCTAAACCGTGCCATTGGCATTTGTGTTGTAAACTGCTTGTCCTCTGCTACATAGTGACATCCCCATTTGACAGCTGGGGAAGTAGGGGGCGCAGAGCTTCCACCACCTTGAATTTGACAGCCAGATCATGAAAAGGACCTTGCTGGTGTGCTACAAGTGACGCCATTCTTCCGAAGCTGCTACTCCCCGACTGACTCTCAACTCGGAGAACTCACCAGATCTTGGGCCCATGAACACATAATTTATAGAACTGATTGTCTTAAAGATTTCTGGAGTGGCTTGCAGCTGTAAGGCCGGGTGTGACCCTTGCTTACAGTCTCTTTTCGAGATTACACAAGGAAGCCTCCACTAAGAAACTTGCTTCCTCGCTTGATCCCTCTGGACGGAATCTGTGGAGGGAGGAGGGAGGACAGAGGAGGACTCAGTGGAGATCCGCAGAACGGTTGGGGGTGGGGTGTAATCTGGACAGCCGATCAGCAAGCAATGGGGGGCTGGGGGGGGGGGGACCTGCCAGGGTAGGTAATGCGATAGCTGCCTGCAGGACAGAACCCTTGAAAAGTCTTTAGAAAATCTGTCCGCAGACCTTACTCTGCTTCATAAGGAGAATGACTCTCCGTGTAAGTTCACACGCAGTTCTTCACAGCCATAACCACTTTCTGGAAGATTCTGTAAGACTTGCAAATACCCTTCCTCCCCTTTCCACCTTAGTGCACACTTTGCAGTTGGCTCTGAATCTGACCAGTTTTGACGAATGCACCTTCCAACTTCTTCAAAGTCCAACACTGATTTCCTAAGAGGATTGAAGGGCACAGGACAAAGTTCAAACGATTCAAAAATATTTATCCAGGCCTCGGTATGTGCTACCCGGGTTTGCTAAAACAAGGTGAAAATAGAGGGCAAGCAGAGCCTTCACCAGAGCCCTGGAAACAGAAGGCAGGGTGATTCTAGCTATATAATCTTTCTGCTAGTGTCCCACATCAAAGAGGGGCCCTGAAAGGACTTTTAGGTATAGTTCTGTATGTCCTTTTCTGCTCCAATCACCCAACTAAATTGGAGACCCAAATTTTAACTTCTGTGCAGGAAAGGATTGGTGATGACCCACCTGGAGGCAGTTTTTCCTGGCTCCTTCCTTGCTTGGGGAAAATACCACTAGATCAGGTGTACATGTCCAGGCCTATTACTAACGTAGCAGAAAAGTTTTGCATGATAGTTCTTCAAAGGAACTCTCAAATGCACAGGAAAAGTGAGATACTGTACATTATTTGATAATTATATTCGAAAAGGCATATATCTGAAAAAGCTTATTCTTCGTTAAAGTTCCCCTTTGCTGCTTTTGAAGAATACCTAAGTACTTATTCTATTGCGTGTTTTGAGGTGTTGGGGATCAAACCCAAGGCCACTGGAGTACTAGGCAAATGTTCTGTCGCTGAGCTACACCCCAAGCTCATGTTAACTTATTTGTCTTAGGTCCATTTTAGTTCATGTTGCAAAAACTAACAGTAGGAAAGGAAAAAAGAGTGGGGTAGATGCGGAAGGGAATCTTAGGCAGTGCATAGCTCCTAAGCAGCTACAGCAGGAATACCTCTTTTTTTTTGTTTGTTTGTTTGTATTTTAGGGAAGGATCTACAGGGTGTTCAGGGTCTCACTACTAGATCAGACTCCGTAGTGATCCACCTGTTTACAGCTTCCCAAGAGCTGGGATTACAGACGTGGGCTACCACGCCAGTTTCAATTGCCATCTCAGTGCGCCCTGGGGGCAGGACAGGCATGGCAGGCTCAGGGATTGAGCCCCCGGCTCCTGAGCCTGCTTGCAGGCGCTTTGATCTATTTGGCTGGCCCTAGGAAAACCTCTTTATCTGATGTTCCACTTACTTTTTTTTTTTTTTTGCAGTACCGGGGTTTGAACTGAGGACCTTGCATTTGCCAGGCAAGTGCTTATTCTACAGAGCTATCTCCCCAGCTGATGTTCCACTTATTTATCGCTGCATAATAAACCACCCTAAATTAGTGGCTTCACACAATGATCATTATTTTGTTCCTAAGTCTGCGTTCTAGGAGGGCTCTACCAGGAAGGCTGGTCTCTGCTCAGTGCAGCGCTGCCTAGGGCTAGAGAGCCCACAGTTCTAAGCTACCTCCCTCACTTCTCTGGCAAATCAGTGCTCGCCCGTTCCTGGAATCTCAGCAGGCATCGGGGTCTGGGACTGTGGTTCTCCTCCACAGGGCCTCAATTTCCTCACAGAATGTTGGCCGGTTTCCATGCATGAAATTCGTGTGACAGCGCCAGATGGAAGCTGTAATGAGTTTTATAACCTAGGCTCATAGGTCACTTCTGTTGTACAGAAGTTTAAGGAGAGGGAACATAAAAATCTTCCTTTTGATGGAGGAGGAGAAGATTCTGAAAGAGCAGGTAGGACGGCAAAAGTTGTTGCAGTTTTTCTGAGAAACACACCATCTCTTCTTTCATAGAAGATTTTTTTTTTTTGAACCGGGGATTGAACTTAGGCCCCTGAGCTTGCCAGGCAAGTGCTTCTTCTACTGAGCTATTTCCCCGGCCCCCATAGAAGATGTTTGAACATGAGATTGTACACTATAATAGTGAGCTCCTGTTGAATTTGATTAAAAAACACTCAACTGGAGCAGCCAGATAACTCAACAGAATAAAGTACCTGCTTAGGCAGACACAGGGACCAGGGTTTGATCTCCATTGGAGCCAGCCCCTCCCCTGGGGCACACTGAGACAGCAACTGACACTGGGCATGGTGGAGGGTGCCTGTAAACCCAGGGCTTGGGAGGCTGAAAACAGGAGATCACTATGAGTCTGTTCTGTGTAGTGAGACCCTGTATACCCTGTACTTACTACATACATTTAGAAAGAAAGAAAGAAAGAAAGAAAAAAGAAAGAAAGAAAGAAAGAAAGAAAAGCTCAACTAACGTAGTCTCTTGTTCCTACCTTGAAAACATTATTACTTTATTATTTTAATTTTACTCTTTATCTGTCTCTCGTGTTGAGTAGAGTGATACCACTGGAATACTTTTTCAATTGACCCATAACGAACAAACAAAGTTTTATAAGAGAATATTAACTTTTCATGTTGATGGAGTGTTATGTTTGAGATGGTTCATTTATATTCTTGGCTTGATGAATTTATTTTCTGGGGAAAAGCCCACTCCCATTACAGAGAAGAGTAAAGACCAAAGCCAAATATTTTTTTCCGGAACTGAAGATTGAACTCAGGCCCTCGCATTTTGCCAGGCAAGTGCTTCTTCTACTGAGCTATCTCCCCAGGCCCCCAACCAATCATATTATGGTGTGGATATAACCATGGAAAGGATTTTCTCTTATGGCTGTGGAGCTTAAAACCCCACAACAGAGTTAGAGTCTCTGGAAAGGATGTCCTGGAATCTTTTTTTTTTTTTTTTTTGGCAGAACCAGGGATTGAACTAAGGCCCTTCAGCTTGCCAGGCAAACACTCATTCTACTAAGTTATCTCCCCAGCCCTCCCCTCTTTTTTTGTAAAAGATCCTCTGGTGGTTCTTTTGATGGTCCAGAACTGGAAGTTACCAGCTGTGGCTTATGTATCCAGCCAGTAGTTAATTTAATCTACTGTCCCTTCTCTCAAGGTGCTCAAAGAACAGTGTGAAAGGCATCTTGCTAAGTATCTTCCGTCACATGGACATCAAAAACCTGAGCATATAGTTTAGGTAAACTATACCCTAAGCTATTACAGAATTACGACTACAGTTGGAGAGTTTGGTTTCTTTCTAGTCTACTCCTTACCCTGTAGAATAGCACATTGAAAACATAAATTGTCCCACTAGCAGATTTT